GCTGGTCTCGAACTCCTGAGCTCAAACAATCCGCCCACCTCGGCTTCCCAGAGAGCTAGGATTACAGGCGTGAGCCACCGCGCCTGGCCTGATTTGCTTCTTAGATACTCCCCTTCCCCCCACACTGTGATGCCTGCCCCTGAGCCCAAACTGATGCCATGGCTCCTGTCTCCACTTTCCAGGAGCCAGTTTTGCCCCCAGGGACAAGGTGAGGGTGTAAGTCACAGGGACCTAGCAGAAGGGACAGAACTGAGGTTCAGAAAGGAGGGGTGGAGCTACGGGGCACGTCACGATTACTCAGCCCCAGAACGCGCCAGGAGCGCCGTTCAAATGCTATCTAACACACACAACCGTCTTCTCGCTCATTTTCCAGGTGAGGAAACTGGGTCCCAGAAACGGTTCTTTATTTGTTCAGGACCCACAGCGCGTAGAGCACAGACTTCTCTCGTTTTCTGATTTCTCAGGAACCTCTGTGACCCCTAGCCAGTTACCAGCAGGACCACCTTCCTCCGTGACAGGTAAGCTCTGGAGGGTTCTCGCCAGTGCCCGGGGTGTGAGCACACGGACCCCCCTTCTCTTCCCTTCTCTGCCTAGATGTCTCCATTTGTCTCTTTCACAGATTTGCTTTGTTTTAAAAATCCTTTGTTTCTGGCTGTAAGGAGGGTGGGTATCCCACATAGATAGACATTAATATGCTGCCCTCGCCCCCCTGTCCTGCCTAGGACGATGGTTTGCAATGTCTGACACACACAAGAGTGATCTGAGTGGCTTGCCAAATTGCGGGGTCCTGAACTCTGCTTCCGGGCCTCTGATTCCACCGGTCAGTGGTTCTCAGACTTCCTTGGGCCATAGATCACCTGGAGGGCTTCTCAAAGAACAGATTTCTGAACCCTCGAGGTTTCTGATTCAGTAGGTCTGGGACGAGTCCAGTAATTTTCATTTCTAACAAGTTCCCAGGCGAGGCTGATGCTGCTGGCCCGGGTGTCACTCTGAGAACCACGGCACTAAGTTTTGCGTAGGGCACGGTGTTCCCTGACGTTCATAAGCATCTCAGCTGAACTCGGGGTGCTGGAGTCAGCCTGCGCTTTAGGAAATGATGCGCTGGGCTGGGCATCGCTGACATCTCCCGTGTCCCGGGGTAGATTGAGGAACAAGCAAGAGCTAAGGCTGACGAGAATGGACTTGTGGGGTTGAGGGCAGAGTTGGGGCTCTTATGCCAAGGGAGGCAGGGACACATACGGCGGTGGCACACTGCGTGTGTGTGTGTGTGTGTGTGTATGTGTTTCTGATTAGATTTTTTTAAGATTTTTATTTTGAGACAGAGTCGCAGGAGGTTCGCAACGATAGTATGGAATGATCCCATGTCCCCTTTACCTGGTCCCCTCAGTGGTTACACCCTATGTAACACAATTAGACTACAACATAAAAACCAGAATTTTTTTTTTTTTTTTTTTTGAGACAGAGTTTCACTCTGTTGCCTGGGCTAGAGTGCCATGGCATCAGCCTAGCTC